TAGTGGATTTCGGCCTTATACTTGATCACATCCCAATTAGGTGTGACAATATGAGTGCTATTAGTCTAACGAAGAACCCCGTTCTTCACTCGCGGACTAAACACATAGAAATTAGGCATCACTTCATACGAGATCATGTCCAAAAGGGAGATGTCACAATTGAGTTTGTTGAAACGAAACATCAATTGGCGGACATTTTCACGAAACCCCTTAGTAGGGAGAGTTTCTTCCACATTCGGAACGAACTTGGCATTTTGGATATCTCTATGAATTATTTCATTCTTTTTATTGATGGTACTAATTTGAGCGTCGGAGGCGCAATAATTCTTTTTTGCAGGGTATATTTTAAGTGTTTTAGGGCAGTTTTCGAAACTGGAACAGATGGGATCGATCTCCCCAATTGGATCGATCCACTGGGCTTCTGATTTTTGCAGGTACGAGTCGGCAGATCGATCCAACGCAATGGACCGATCACCTGGGCAAACTTCTCAAATCTGAATTCAGCCCAACGTCAGGAGGACCGATCCAGGCTTATGGATCGATCCATGGTTTTAATTGGTTCCAGGATCTGCATCGGCGGATCGATCCAAGCACAGGGATCGATCACTTGGACTTAAACGGCGCAGGTAGTCTTTTACGGCGAATCGATCCTCTAATCTGGATCGATCATCTTAACTTACAGGTATATATATCAACCCTTCGCCTGTTTTATGTTTATTTTTTTCTGGTCTTCGTTTCTCCTCTGCTACGACGAACGAAACAATCTGCAGGTTCGATTTCTTCGCCTCTTTCCTCAATTTCTCTCCAATTTCTTCCAAATTATTTGTTAATTGTTGCAAATTGATGATTATTGTTGCTCATTTGCTTGTTCACTCGAGATTAAGTGCTTCTTCCTTTCTCTCTTAGGGTTTCTCGTTCTTCTCGTGCTCCAACCCTAGCCACCATGTCTGATCGTCGAGGCAGTAAACGTTTGCGCACAAAATCTCATGACGGTGAACCATCAACCCAAGAGGAACGATTTGTCTCTTCATTTGTCTTTCCGAAAGGTGATTCTAAACGCCTCTTCTATAATGATTTCTTGAATCATCCTATTTTGACACCCAAATGCGTTCTTCATTCCGTATTTTGTCATCTAGCATTCCAAGATGCCACAATTTTCATTGATAGACTTGGTGTTACTTTTTTTGTTCGTGAGAATTTTCCTGTGTATTGTCCGAATCTAATTCGGTTGTTTTATACAAATCTCACTTTCAACGGACGGGTCCTCAAAACCTCCGTTAATGGCACCGACATTGAGATTACTCTCAAAGATATCGGTGAACTTTTCAAATTCTCTTTTGAGGGATGTGATTTCCACAAGTTCACATCTAAGGATTTCAAAACTTTTTCTTCTTACGACACCATTACCGAGGTGTGCCTTGAAGAAATTCTTGGGCGAGAACGCCTAACCGGTGGAGGTCTTAAGCCTCATTTTCGAATTCTTCATTACTTCATTTCGAAAGTATTAGCTCCTCGTAAGTCGAGCCATTCCAAAATACTTACTTCGGACACTCGTCTTCTCTTCGTGTTTTTGAATGATATCAAAATCAATTGGGCAAAATTCTTTTGCAATAACCTTATTCTCATGAAGACAAAAGGGTCTCTTGGGTATGTGTTCCCGATCATGAACATTTTGAAAGCTTTTGGAATGCCTTTAAAAGACATCCACGTCCAAAAGAACCACACTTGGTACATCGATGTCGCAGCCTTCAACCGCTCTAATGTACCAAGGGCCGTGCAAGAAGGAGGAGAAGAAGGAGAAGAAGAAGAAGGAGAAGAAGAAGAGGGTGAAGAAGAACATGACCCGGAGGGCGAACCGGCGCATGTCCAAGAAGTCGCTCAAGTGGAATCAACTCGGCATTCCTCTCCTACTCGGGTGTCACGCTCTACTTCATCGCGCCGCGCTGATCGTTCCATCCTTCAACGGATTTTAGACGCCGTGACTTGCACTCGCACAGATGTGGCGCATACTCGCATGGAAGTGACCATAAAAGGCCATCGTCTCTCACGGCTTGAGCAGCAGATGACGGAGATAGAGCGGCGACCATATTTCGGACCGCGTCACAGTTACAGTGGTGGATCTCGGCCGTCGAGCTCACTTTGACTTCTCTCTCTCTTTATGTGATGACTTATTTATGACACATTGTTAAATATTATTTTATAACTCTTTTGGTGGATGATGATGTTCTTTTGAATGATGCTAGTTATTGTTGTTAATTGTTGATGTTAATTATGATTGTGTATTAATATCTTTGTTGGTTTGGCAATATTGTTCTTGTTTAGAACATATTGTCCCTTTGTGGCTTTTTTACTACGAGTTCTCTTTTAAAGAAAACTCTTGCCATTCTTTTTACTATCCTTCAAAATCCCGGCATCAATTAAGGGGGAAGGTTATCGGTTGATAATGCCAAAAGGGGGAAGGAAGGATAGTTGAGAAAACTTGTTTTTCAAAATCGTTTTTCCGCTTATTACTCCGATTATTTTTACTGCACTTCTCTAACCTTGCAGGGGGAATCAATTTAAGAGAAGTATTTCCTAATCTCACACTTTGTTTTCTCTCAACTATGTTTGTCATTATCAAAAAGGGGGAAATTGTTGGACATGAGTTCAAACCCCTTTATTATTTTGGAATATTTTTTGTTTTGATAATTGACAAACAGGATGATATTCGAAAATTTATTTTTCGGATCAAGAAAAGCAAAGAAGGGTATCAAGAAGTTTTGGCGATTAAAATCAATGCTCACCCCTACGCAATTTTTTGAAGTGAAGACTCCGAAGACTTTTTATTTTTATTGAGTCTAGGAATTCTTGTAAGGATGACAATAATTTTTGCATAAACAAATTATTTTTGAGGGATAAAAATTATTATTTTTTAAGTCAGTTGAAAAATTATTTTTCTCTGTCTAAAAATATTTTTTACTGAGTCAGTTTCAAAATAGTGTGTCAAAATTTCTTAAAATACTTTTTAAAGATGCACAAATTTTTTGTGGTAAGAAAAATATACTTTAAAGATTTTTCTTGTACATCGTTTGGCACACAAAATATTTTTGGCACTCAATTTCTACACCAAAATTCAAATTTTGAATTTGAATTAATTCATTCCAACCTATTTGATTTGTTTGTTTATGGGAGCCTTATGATATTCAATTCTTGTCCAAAACAAGTCATTAAGCTCCAAAATTATCACTCAACTCGCACACATGTCTTGGGTCCTCATGTTTGAGAGCTGTTCGTCATTGGATCGATCCAACTGTTAGGATCGATCATCTTGTTGTGCGCTCAGGGATTGGGATCGATCCATTTCCCTGGATCGATCCGCCGAAGGCTTGCGAAATTTTGTCTCCTGAATTTTGGTTCCAGAGGATCGATCCCCTGCCTTGGATCGATCCCCCGAAGCTTTGACAGAAATCTTTGTTCGATCCTTTACTCCAGGTGATCGATCCTCACCCTTGGATCGGTCCCCAACGGCTTTTTTCTGTCAACTTCAACCTTCCCTACTTCCAACGGATTTATTTCTTTCTCCCCTATAAAAACACTATCCTCCTTCATCAAACTCACATCTCTTGCACTCCAATATCTTCATTGATCAATATTCAATTCTTGCTTCCATCTTCCTCATCAAATATATTATTTTGAGAGTTAGAAATATTTTATTGAGTGCTAAAGATTTTGTCATCCATAGAGCTTTAATTCTTCAACACTACTTTGCTCAATTGTGTGAGCCTTCATTCTTGTGTTGTAAACTCAATCTCTTTTGAGTGTTGTTCTTAAGACTTGTGTGACTCAAGTCTTGTAGTTGTAAGAAAGTGAGGCTTGTGTGATTCAAGTTCTCAAGTTGTACCAGTTTTTCAAGCACCTGTTGAAGCTTGAAGATTAGTAGGACTTTCGAGAGAGTCTCTCGGAGGACTGGACTAGCCACGAGGTGGTGAACCAGTATAAATCTCGGTGTTCTTCTTTCCCTTACTCCTTTTATTTATTCCTGCGATTTTATTATTTCACACACGCGAAAAACGACATTTTTGAAAACAACTCTATTCACCCCCCCTCTAGAGTTGCACACTTGTCTAACAAAACAAAGTGGTACTCATTGTCAAATAAAGTAGTGTTCATTCTCAACTAAAGTATCGTTCATTCATTCTACTTAGTTTAAAATCAATCTCCGATGCTTCTTCTTCTCCCTCACCCAAACGCTGAATTTTTTCGGACTAAAAATTTCTATATCAACCACTTCCCCATGAACCCTTCGATCTGCTGTACAATCACTTTCCCCATTATCACATCACCATCACTATCTCCAACATCATCTTCACCATCACCTTCGCAGATCTGCTCCCCGCTGCTCTGTACTGCCTTCTTTTTCCGATCAAACGCACCTAGGGTTTGACTCGATCGCGCTCCACTTGATCGCTAATTTCCGCCGGCTGTACGGTTCTTCCAGTACAGCCGACTTACGATATAATTTGCGTACAAGTCATTGTTTTTATCTATTTTTACACTCTTTAAATATGTTTTAATTATTAAAAATTATTTTACTTATCTTTTTTCATAAAAATAGATATACTCCCTTTGAAAAAATCTTTTTTTATTAAAAAAATTTTAAAAAAAATGCCTTGTAGATGCAATGCCAAGCATGGCAAAATCTCATAGCCACGCATGGAAAAAGTAATCTTCGGATGATGTGGCAGGGCGTGGCAGGCAATTTCCTCGCCACTGTCGCTGCTCTTAGAGTGTTTTTTTCACTTTTTACTCCCACACTCATTAATCTTCTTCTTACATGTTACGAGATTTGACGAACTTTATTTTCAATTCATTTATTTGATTATATGTTTAAAATTTTAAAAATAAAATTTAAATAATAAAAGCTAAATGAAAAGTTCTATAAAATAAAATGTGACAAGACCATAGAGTATTATTTTATGAAATTAAGGGTAAAAATAAAGAAACAAATTGAGTTAAGTTTAACCATTTCTACAGTATCTATGAATATCTATGAGGGACAGAGGGAGTATATTAATATGGAAAAATGCACCCCCAATACTCACAGAATTGGCCAATTACATAATATTACTCCTAGATTCTCTTTTGCATATTAATATTTCAAAAAATCATCGGATTTTAAATCATTATACTAGCTCGACTAAGTCAGCTTCGTCCTTAATTTTGGGGAACTTTTTTTGGTAACATTACATAAAAAATATTGAGTCGACAACGCATCTAAAATGATGGATTTAACTTGGATGTCATATGAACATTTTTGAATAATTTAATATGGGGTAAAATATATCTAATTAAATCCGATGAAATCGTTCATCTTCAAAAAAGTTATTAACCTTATTAAATTATTCAAAAAATCTAAATGACCTCGCATTTAATTCTATTACTTTCGATGTGTTTTCAACTCATTGTTTCATATGTTATGTAAGCTAAAATAATTCCTCATAATTAAATCAAAAATTGATGGAGCTAAGTTATAGTAGTAATGTGAGATCTTTTAATTTACACACACACACACACACATATATAATAGAGTTTAAGCCTTGAGGAGGGCCAATATTTGTTATTATATAATCTGGAATTACAGATATGAGGTTTTACACAAGGGTGGCCCAACGGGCATTACCCAAGTACAATCTTGGGTATATCTCTCTTCAAGCGCTACTATTTTCTCTCTTTATCTCTCTCTAGCATGTCGTCCATTTATTCTTCTCTCCTTTTATTTATAGGAGATTTTCAGCAGGAAATGTTTTGACTGGAACTTGGCGTGGGTCTACAGTGGAAGTTCACTGTTCGGTGGTTGCCGGTGGAGGCACGTATGTCAGACGTAGCCTTCGCACTAAATGTTGCATATGACTTTCATGATAGGTGGTTGGTACTGATGTGACTGGATTTTCCTGAACGGATCTGGTTCAGTGTCTAGCAAGTCATTGAGATGACCATTTATTCTCCCAAGTCCACCCGACTCGCCCTCGTGGGATTGGTGTGCCCCGATTCTGATTGCCCGTCGGGCTAGTGCTGGTCAGGGGTACGCACGCCGAGGGGCCCATGGGCTGCCATGGGTGGCCCAGTTCTATTAGGCCTTTATCCCAACACAACCCCCCTGAGTCTGCAAGCCTGAGAGGAATAAGTGGCTTTATGGATTCGTCATTCGTACGTATCTGCCACGTGCTAGGGGGGATGCAACTTCGATCTCCGCAGTTATGATGAATCCTACCAGCTGGATGTGACCGTTGGGTTCTTGAGGCATCACGGATGGTGGTGGGGATAAAGCCATGTGCTGCCTGGGTATCCGTTCGATGTGCTCCTCCCATATTGTAACACCCCAACCCGTATAACCCGAATACAAGGATCAGCGGATCGGGTTGCTACCAAATTGGTACCCAAACACAATAATTTTCCAAATCCATTTAAAACATTTAATTCAAAACAATATTTAATTATCCATCAGAGTAAATCAAAACTGTTGCGGAAGCTAAATTCATAATCCAAAACACATCTTGGGAATCATGCCTGAAATAGTAATAAGTTATTTAAGTAATTAATAAGAGTTCAAAGTCGTCGAACACCGCCACGCACATCTCAGCCTCCTCATCGCCCTCTGGGATTGGCTCCAAGCTCATCATTTCCTGGATTACCTACGTGTAGCAAATAGGAAAAAGGGCTACACGCTCAGCATTGAAGCTAAGTGAGAAATATCTAACATACAGCTATACCCATAGATGATCCCACTAGCCCATATCCTCATACGATATCATGCACACAACATGCTCAACATATTCACACAATATACAGAATATAACATATGTAATAAACATCATCATTAAAGAATTACAAATTACAGGGATACAATGGTAACTTTTCCATTTTCCTCTACCTTACGTTCTTTTTGTACTCGACTCTTAACCTAAACTAGGTAAAAGCTTAACTGTATACGACTTGCTTATGGAGTCATGACCTTCCCCTTCGGAACGAAGGTCAAGCTCAACCAACTCGAGAGTTCCTCGTTGGGTGGGTGAGATCCCTGTCCCCTTCGGAATGACAATTCTTAGATTCCCGTGTACACGTTTTTACCCGGACAGCCATTGGACCCAGCAGGTACCACATGACTCTAACTTACTAACTTATGACATGTCTTGCCGTTATTTCCATTCAGGTCAGATCCTAGGTTTGTTCTAGGTATTTCATGCTTTAATCGCCATTAGTTTATAGCATACATGTTCATGCATCAATCCTCGACGCAAACAACAAAATGCAGACCGGTTCAGGTACCTCACGGTACCCCTTGGTGGCAGGGGTTACCGGCCCCACGGTACCAGGGTACCGTCCCCATGGTATGGGGGTACCGATCGTGTCAGCTGGGGTCCCTTCCGGTAGTCCGTCACGGTAGCCTCTACCGGTCAGACGGTAGAGTCCACCGTCCACACGGAACCTGGGTCCCGTCCTAAGTAGGTACCGCCAGAGAAGGGCGAAAGTACCGTGTCAACGGTACCCACCTGCCATCCGTCGCAGCGAACCCAGACCTGCACCAGCTCCATTTTCGTCCCTTAGGCAGCACCCATTCTAGTGAAAACAAGCATAACAGATCATAAATCATTAACCTAATATTATCTAACCATTCCTCAATCATTCCAACACAATTCATGCTTTTCAAATCATAAACGACATACACAAGGCATAATTTACGTATAGTCCACATAGATCAACCGTAACGATTCTACGAATGTAAGATTCAAACCTACGAATATAACCATACATTAGATGACCACGAACTCACCTCGAAATAGACGATTAAAAACTACGAGATGGTACTCACGAACAACGGCGTCGGATTCTTCCTCTTCCTTCTCCCTTCTCTTCTTCTCCTTCTTCTTTCCCTTGCTGCGTTCGTCCTTCTACTCTGTTCCGTTCGGCGAGAGTGAGACACGAGAGAGAGACGTGAGAGAGTGGGGAGGAAGTTACGTAAATATGGTGAGGCGTAGGGGTTTTGGGCGTGTAGGGAGTGTATTTATACTTTTGGGGTTTTGGGCTCCGTATTAACTAAACGTACCTGACCCAAACGCACCTTCCAGGCCCACTAACTCCAAATCCAAATCTGATTTCACCGTTAGATTCGATCCGTCGAACCCTACACAACGGTATAATCTTTATTGTCAAACGAAAGATATAAGTATAATTTCCACCGAGTCCGTCTCAATAATTAATTAATTATTTCTAATTAATTAATTCTGATAGGCCGGGTTTCGGGGCGTTACACATATTATAAATACCCTTTCACCTTATGGGGATAGAGGGGGAACCAATTTTTCAAAGACATAGGGGAATAACTCTCCTCTTGAAACCCCAGCTTTGGTTGCATATCCACGCCCTAGTTTGTCATTAGCAAAAAGGGGGGAATTGTTGGAATACACTTTCACAATGACATTTTCCTAATGCCAGTATTTATTCTATGTAGCTTTTGATATTAAGAAACCACCGTGAACATAGAACGAAATGAAAAAATTCAAAGGCAATGGCAAGGGTTCATTGAAGGAACAAAAGACACAAGGAAAGATATTGACGTTTTGAAGAAGAGACAAGAAACTTAGGACTGTATTGTAAACAAGTTCACATTAATTTTTTTCTTAGTCTAGGCTCAAACAAAATATTTTTTCTTGAATTAAAAATATTTTTTGGAGTTTTATAAAAATTCACAAAATGTTTTTAGGAAGTCGGTTTTTGAACTTGAATTGGTTTTAAAAATCTTGCCAACAAGCTCAAACATTGATGTTGCAACCTAAACATCCATGTTTTAGTTTCAAACTCAACATCCATGTTTTTGGTTTAAAGAACGATGTTGCACATTGAACATCAATATTTTACGAGTTTGTCCTTTTCCCAACTTTACCGGTAGGTTTTTGAACATGGTTGTTGCCAATTGATAATGCATGTTCTGTGCCAGACTTGGTTTTTTAATTCTATTCTAAACATTGATGTTGGTCCTTTAACATCAATGATTTCACTTGACCGTTGGAAACTTTAAAGACCAACTCTTTCCTATTTTAAAGTCAATCTTTGGAACAGCAATGTTCCGTTTAGAACAGCAAGATGTCTAGCCTATTTTCAGTAGACCAAATTTGATTTGATTTCCACAAATTAAGACAATCAACCCAAATCTTCTCCCAACCGTTGTACCATGTTTCTAGACATAAGTGTAAGAAAAGAGTCTTAACACTAGAGGGGGGGGGGTGAATAACGTTTGAAACGAAAATCGCAGGAATATAAAAAAATTAAAAGCGTGAAGAGTAAAATCGTAAGAAGGCACATCGAGATTAATTATAGAAAGATGTTTTTAATAATGGGCCTCTCAACATTGATTAGTTAAATAAATTAATTAATGATTCAGATGGACCCGATAGTTTGAAAATAAAGTTTTGAGAAAAATATTTTGAAGATATCATAAATTTAGTTTTGACTGTTTATTACCGACGCAAACAATTTTCGATTCAGAGCAGTTCGGGGGGAAAGTGCGTACCTATCAGGCCAAAATTCATTTACGGAGTGACATTGGAATTGTCACCCCATTCCCCCCATAAACATGGTCCATCCCCCCCTTTCCTTTATCCTCAAAATCATCACCATTTACTTTAATATATACACTCCCCTCTCCCATTCTTGTTTCCTTGTTTTCTTCACCTCCACACGCACAACCACCTAACATTGCTTGAGGTTTATACTTCAAAACTTCGAGAGATGTTTTCCATAAAATTGGAAAAGTCACTATATGGACTAAAACAATCTAGCATAATGTGCTATAATTGTCTTAGTGAGCATCTGCTCAGAGAAGGGTACAAAAATGATCTATTAACTCCATGTGTTTTCATCTGACAATCTAAATTAGGCTTTGTTATAATTGCAGTATATGTTGATGATTTAAAAATCATTGGAACATCTAATAAAGTAAAAAACACTACAAAATATCTCATGAAAGAATTTTAGATGAAAGATTATGGGAGAACAAAATTTTGTCTTGGTCTTCAAATTGACCATTTGAAGGATGGAATTTTCATCCACAGTTAAATTACACGAAGAAGGTTTTGAAGCGGTTTTACATAGATAAAGTACATCCTCTCACATCTCTCATAGTTGTCTGCTCTCTCAATGTACACGATGATCCATTCCGACCTCATGAAGATGATGAAGAAATACTTAATCTATAAATACCATACCTTAGTGCTATTGGAGACTTGATGTATCTGGCAAATACCACTCGACTAGATATTGCATTCTCAGTGAACTTGTTAGCCAGACACAGTTCAACCATGACAAGGAGGCATTGGAATGACATTAAACACATTTGCTGATGTTTCAAGGGTACCATTGACCTTGGTTTATTCTACTGCAAAGGTGCTAATGCCACTTTTGTTGGATATGTTGATGTAGGATATTTGTATGATCCACAAAAGCAAAAATCTCAAGCAGGATATGTGTATACGAATGAGATATCGCTATATCTTGGAGATCGATGAAACAAACTTTGACTGCCACATCATCAAATCACACAGAATTAATAGCTCTCTACAAAACAGGTAGAGAATGTGTATGGTTGGAATCAATGATCCAACATATCCAGAGCGAGTGCGGTATAGAAACAATCACTAGCCATCTGACTCCTATATATGAAGACAGCATTGCATGCATTGTTCAAGTTAAAGGAGACTACATCAAAGGAGATAGAACAAACCATATATCACCAAAGATCTTCTCAATTCACGATCTTGAGAAAGATGGAAAGGTTGACATCAAGCAAATCAAGTCCAATGAGAACCCTACTGATTTATTTACAAAAGCATTGACATCAAAGAAATTTGAAGAACTTGTACTCTTTTTCTCTTGATCAGGTTTTTATCCCAGCGGGTTTTTTTCCTGACAAGATTTTTTACAAAGCAATACATAAAATTAGGATGAGTTTCAAAACTACGCTCATTTCACGAAGTACCCATCATTAATTGAAAAATGAACATTCAANTGTTATGAAATTAGTGAATTCATCATATTTCAATTTATTAGGCTAATTATTATAGAATAATAGATTAATATATCCATTGTAGAGCAGTATTTTGTATAGTCCTTCTCACTTATAGAAGTATTCAAATTGAGTTATATTAGTATCCATACTAAGCATCTCCATTATAAATAAAGGCTTAGTTTCTTCAATTAAGTGCAAGAAAAAGAAGAATAAAAAATTCTAAAGAGAAGAAAAGAAAAATATATCATATTTATTTTCATAGTTTCTGAATATTTTTCTAACATTTTAACAAGAGTAACTTTAACGAGCAATATTGTGCGGTCCTAATAATGCGGCCAAGTATTCTCGTGTCTTAGCCACTTTCCACTCGTGCACTTGCACAGTCACAAGGTCCATCGGCGAGGACGCAAATCCAAGAATCCAGATGCAGTATAATAATCTGGGACGATCCGGCCTGAGAGTTTCCCAGCTCTCTTTTGGGGCGTGGGTCACGTTCGGCAACCAGATCGACGTCAAGGAGGCCAAATCGCTCCTCCAGTGCTGCCGGGACAATGGTGTCAATTTTTTCGACAACGCCGAGGTGTACGCCAACGGCCGCGCGGAAGAGATCATGGGACAGGCCATCCGTGAACTGGGATGGAAGCGCTCCGACATAGTGGTCTCCACCAAGATCTTCTGGGGCGGTCCGGGCCCAAACGACAAAGGGTTGTCCCGGAAGCACATTGTCGAGGGAACCAAGGCGTCCCTGAAAAGGCTCGACATGGATTATGTGGACCTGATCTACTGCCACCGTCCAGATACGAGCACGCCGATTGAGGAGACTGTTAGGGCTATGAACTATGTGATTGATAAGGGCTGGGCTTTTTACTGGGGAACTAGCGAGTGGTCTGCTCAGCAGATCACTGAGGCTTGGGGCGTGGCTCAGCGTCTGGATCTGGTTGGACCCATTGTTGAGCAGCCGGAGTATAATCTCCTCTCTCGCCACAAGGTATTATTGCCTTTTACTTCCCTCCCAGTCTTTCATACACTAGTACTTGCACTAAAATGTGATGAATTGGGTGAGCTGTTGCAGGTGGAATCTGAGTACCTCCCCCTATACACCAATTACGGCATTGGTCTCACTACATGGAGTCCGCTTGCATCTGGAGTGTTGACAGGAAAGTATTCCTCTGGACACATTCCACCTGATAGTCGATTTTCCCTCGAAAATTACAAGGTTTTACACCCAATTCCTTTTGTTGATTTTTAAAAATTGGAAAAGGAGTGGGTTTACTTTGGGTTTGGTATCATTTTTCTTTCTTTCTTTTTTTGCGAGATTTGACTTTAGTTTGGAGAGAATTTGATTGATTTAGGATTGGGTGGAGGTCAAACAACTGGGATATAAGAGGCAAAATCAAACTAAAAAATTGAATTCGATGGATCGACTAGTTCAACTCATGGCCTTATTAACTTATCGTTGTTTCATTATCTTTTGGAGTGAGATATTCTAACACTCACCTTCAAGTGGATAACTGAGACACTTTGAATTCAACCAGTTGACTCCTACCATAAAACAAAATCTAGAAGTGCAGCGATAACACCTAAAGAACCACCGGTAACTAGGATTATACTCCAGACAGATAACCAAGTTAAGTTGAAAAATTTAGGATTTGGTAGAGGATAATCAGTTAGGCCATAGGACAACTAGTCAAACCACACTAAAATAATGAATCTGATTGATTAACTAGTTAAATAGTTCACCTCAGAATCTCATTAGCTCTTTGTTAATACAAGTATTTAGTTGAGTTCGTTTCTTAACCCAGAGACCAATGCCATAGATCCTGACCTGACCCATAGTCATGATTGTGAGCCACCCTACGAAAAACATGATGCACATGTTGATCGTAAGGGGTTTTGGATATCCTCGGTTAAATATGAATGAATGGTTTCTCTATCAAGTATGAGTTCAAAGGGATAGTGTTATGTATCTTGGATCTATCAGTCAAGTTGATGCTGTGTGTGTGTGCTTGCACATATGTGTATCTCAAAAGCACTATATAAGAAATAATTGTTTAACTAGGTGCCTAGGTTTATGCCCAATGAGATATAGTTGCCTCGGACAAAACTATACAAATACATCTGGTTTGGCAGCACGAGAAAATATATCACAATTATCAAGCCCACAAACCTGAGTGTGTTCTTTTGCTGTGAGATGAAGTTTCAAGTGATCCAAGGTGCTTGTGGACCAACCTTTGTGGCAAAGACCCAAAGGCAACCTTTGTGGCAAAGACCCAAAGGTAGCCAACAGTGGACTTCCCCTGATGAGATTGAACAAGAGTCCAAATCCAACTTGTTAATTTCTTCAACCATAGTGTGGTTCCATTCTAGAGAAAGTGCCTCCTGAGCAGTTTTAGGAATAGAGACACGTCTCGCTACTATTGAGTAATACTAGATTATCGTGTGTCCTCTGAAATGTTAAAAACTAGCAAGCTCATGTTGACTGTCCTGCAGAATCTCGCCGTCAGGTCATTGGTGGATGATGTATTGAAGAAAGTGAATGGATTGAAACCAATTGCTGAAGAATTGGGTGTGACTTTGGCTCAACTGGCAATTGCTTGGTGTGCTGCAAACCCCAATGTTTCATCTGTTATTACTGGTTCCACCAAAGTTTCTCAGGTCTCTTTGCTATTTCTTGAGTTTTTTTTTACTTGCCTAACCAAGCTCTCTTTTCTTTTATTACTTCAGTAATTATAATGGATTTATTTGCAAGTCTATTATAATACACTGCTATGTTATTGATATTTCTGAAAAATTTTGTGCAGATCCAAGAGAACATGAAGGCCATTGGTATTATTCCAATGCTGACACCTTTGATGATGGATAAGATTGAGGATGTTGTTCAAAGCAAACCAAAGCGCCCAGATTCATATCGTTAGGCTTGTGTTACCAGCACTATGCTTGGTTAAACAAAAAAAAAAAGATTCCCCCAACACCACCTCTCCTGGCCATTTCTACAGCTTCTGCTTTATTTATGCAATTGAACTTTGTTGAGGCGTTGGTACTTTCCTTTGGGTGGGTAGAATTGTGTGAATGCTGGATTTCTATTTGTTGAAAAAAAACTACTGCAGTGGAGACGAGTGTTTGTTTGTTTGATGGCCTTTCCTTTTTTGTTATTGCTTTATTCATCAATGTTACATCAAACTCAATAATATTACCTCTGTCCAGGAGTGTTTTATTCATACAATTTCAACTCATTAACCAAATTGAGTCATTATCCCCGAGGATCGAACTTGTGACCTCTTATATGGTAGAAGCATCATTATGTTCGCTAGACCACAAGGTTTTCGGCGTTTAAAATATTATTTTATCTAATTAATATATTATATAATTTTTAGTCGTATTTAGTTATAGTTTAAAACTTGATCGTGGTTGGCTCTAAAAAGTTAAAATTGGACAAATTGATAGAACTCAATATTGGCCGGGAAAATAAATGATGGTTTTATTAAATTATGAAATAAGCATCTAACTTAATTAAATAACACTTCCTTCTTCCAAAAAAAATTACATTCTTCATTATTCAAAAGTCATAGAAATTTTTGTTTATTTGTGTGTTTTGATAATTATTTTTTAAAATAAAATATTTTTGTCACTCTTGTTTTGTTGAAATTTTGACCATAGTTTTGAAAGGCAAGCACCTCCCTTGCCTAAGGCGCCTCAGGCGTTCGGGCGACCTTCTACCGCCTGTAGATGTTCAGGTAGGCCGCTGTCCGCCTTTCTCGCCTGAGTCACTTGCCTTTCTCTCCTGAGTTGTTCGCCTTTTCCCTTTTACTGGCTATGGGCTTTTAAATTTCGCTTTGTTTTGCGTAAAGTTTAAAAACATTTTGGGATGGAGGGAGTAAAAGAAAAATCTTTATCAAAATATGAGCAAGAATCTTAAACTCATATAAGTAATAAAGCCAAGTGGAATCTCCAATACTAACTATTGAACTAATTTATGGATAACTTTTGCACATAATGAGCCTCAATATTTATAGAAATTAATTTAAATAACTATCAATTCCTATAATTTAGGCCCACTATCACACTACCTAGTAATTTAAACCGCACTTTTTCTTGCTTTATTTATTGCCTTTACACCCATCTTCATTGTCACAGACGTTCTAGCACTCACCTCCGCATCTTGATCTTCATTCCTACACTTTCATTTGCATAATTATACATAGAAACAACATACGATAGTGTTTTATGAGACAGAGAGATATGACACAGTTGTATGCAAAAAAAATTGTGATAAGGAAGATCAAGATGCGGAGGTGAGTGCTAGAACGTCTGTGACAATGAAGATGGGTGTAAAGGCAATAAATAAAGCAAGAAAAAGTGCGGAGAAGATCCAAGGCGCAAAAACCAATAAGATCAAAACTTGGATACAAAGCACATCAAAGAGAAATATAATTTCCAATTTGCAACTATTTATATTTTGTTAGAAATTTTGTATTGATCAGAATGCTATTATGCGTTTGAATGATTTTGCATTTTAAAGCAAAAAATAATAAAAAGAATAAGAAAAGTAATTTTTTTTTGTAAATTCCCTTCAGAAATCAACCAAAAATAGAAGTAAAAAATATTACAAAATAAGAGTCACATGCTTTTATCTACAAAATGGTACTATTATAATATAATGTGACACTGTATATTGACATTTCATTGTAGTTTTTGTATTATATGTTGGTCTTATTGATATTATAGCTCTTATTTTGCAGATAAAACATAAAGATTCTATTTTGATTATTTTCTTATATTTTATTTCTATTTTAATCTTTCTCTTTTTCCCTTCAGAATCATTGTAGCACTACTTTTTTATTAATATTTTTTTTTCAAAATTGTTGCGAGGAGAAGAATTATTGTATTTTAATTTTTTTCAAATGAATATTTTTAAAAGTAGAGTCATAGGATCGCTAATCCAATATTTTATTTTTAAATAATGCAGTAGAGATGAATCCATTTTTGTATTCAATGCGGGGGTGGGGGAATCATTTTTTTCGCTAATCTCAATTAATGTGGGGGAGAAAAATCATGTTTTTTAATTGTAGAATCATAAGATCGGTAATTCAAGCTTTTTAAAACTTATGCTGGGGAAAAGATTCATAGAATCACTACTATTTTTTGTATTTTTTTAATTTATACGGGAATAAAAATTATAGATTTATATAAATTCAATAAACCTAGATCATTTATATTTGATGTCTAAATGATATGTCTCATGAAAAACAAAGTCATTTTAATATTCCATATTGTAGAATCACAAACAATTTTGTACTATCCCGTGCATGGCACGTGTTAAAATACTAGTTAATTTAAATAACTATCAATTCCTATAATTTAGGCCCACTATCACACTACCTAGTAACTATTCCTAGACTTTAGGCTCACTACCACATTACATAGACTTTGTTCTTTTCGGTAAGAAAATTATATTAGATGTTAGAAAGAAATTAAAAAGAAAAATAGAGCGCACAATTTTTGGTCAAAGTTTTAAAACGTTGGCTTGAACACATTTCAAAGAAACATAGTTAATAAAATTTTCAAGGAAGTAGTTGATGCTCTTACAACTACGTACGACTCATGACTAATTACATTTATTTTCTACTATTCTTGATTGTAAATATCTTTTGGCCAATTATGGAAAATATGTAGTTTTTAATTTTATTCTCGACAGTGTAGCGCCCCAAAATTCGGTCTATCAGAATCAATTTATTGATTATCCAGATAGACCCGAAGTTTATCTTAAATATTCGTTAATAAAAATATAAAAGTTATACTGTTGTGTAGGGTTCGACGAGACGAATCAAACAGTGCAAGCGAATTTGAATTCGGAGCAAGTTGGCCCAAAAAGTGTATTTTAATCGAGGTACTGTATTTAATTACAGAGCCTAAAACCCTATAACTATAAATATAACTGAGGCGCCTAAACCTTCACGTTGTCGCCCATATCACGTGACACTCTATCATGTCTCTCTCTCGTTCTTTGTTCCCGATCAGAAAACACAGCAGTGAAGCCAAGAAGAAGAAGAGGAAGAAGAAGAAGAAGGAAGAAGAAGAGAAGTTCGCCATCACCGTTCAACTCTTCATTCGTAGCTGTTCTTCGTTGTTAATCTTTTGTCGAATTCGAGGTGAGTACATAGACATCTAACGCTAGGTTGTTTTTATATATTTGAATCTTACGTTCGTAGAATCATTACGCTTGAATTACGTTTAAACCTACTTGTGATAGTTTCGTTATGGGTTACTAATAGCAGGTTGATGGTTAACAAACATGAATAGTTATGATTTTATCAATCAGTAAGATTTGAATACCTAGGTACCGGATGGATAGAAGACCCTACCATCAGGATGGTAGCTGGCTACCGCAACAAGCCATCTAGTACTGGCGGACTCTGTCCCAATCAGTACCAAGTACCGCCTGGACGATACCCAGGTACCGTGCCGGTACTCAAGTACTAGACAAGGTACTGTTTGGTACCACTGTGTTGTTCCCGAACTTTTTTTCATGTCAAGGACTTATTCCAAGACCTTGTATATTGCATGACGGTAAGCATGAGTGTTCACATCCAACGCTAGGTCGATGTTTGGTTATGTTGGATATCATTATGCCTATTATGTATGTTATGCAATTGTGAATGTAATGTAACGATTGAAGTCATATATATCTCTAGAGTACGTCTAGGATTTGACCTGAATGGAATAGAGGCAAGATATCTCATAAGTATAGAAAGGTTAGAGCCATGTGGTACCTGCTGGGTCCAATGACTATTCGGGTACAAACATGCACACGGAGATCTATGAACTGTCGTTCCAAAGGGGACAGGGATCACACCCACCCAACGAGGAACTGTTGAGTTAGTTGAGCTTGATCTTCGTTCTGAAGGGGAAGGTCATGAATAGAATAAGCAAGTCAGAATTAGTATAATCTTTATCCTTGGATAGGTTATGAGCCAAATATGTAAGTTAGATGACTAAATTGATGAGAACATAATACCTTGCATTGTTGATATTATTTATGGATTGAACTGTTATGCTGATATTTGTGATGTACTTGTGTGCATGATATCGTGTGATGTTATGAACTAGTGAGGTCGTCTATATGCATAACTAAACGTTAGATATTTCTCACTTAGCTTCAATGCTAAGCGTGTAGCGTTTGTTCTTTTACTACACGTAGATTAAGATGAACCTGGAACTAACCCTAAAGGGTGATGAGGACAAGAAGATGTGCGTGGATGTCTTTGAAGACTTGAATGATTAATTATTATTTAAATAATGTGTTATTTTTTTCAGGTTCGATTCCCAAGTTGTTTGAGATTTTATTAAAGGCTTCCACAATTTTTTTTATTACTCCGAGGAATAATTAAGTTTTGAATTAAATGTTTTAGAATGATTTTGAATATGAGTTGTGTTTGGTTGCCAATTTAGTGGAAACCCGGCCTGCTGATCCACGTATTCGGGCTAGGCGGGTTAGGGTGTTATAAAGAAGAAGGATGGATCGATGAAACTCTGCATCGATTATGACAGCCGAATAAAGTCACCATCAAGAATCGCTATCCCTTACCGCGAATTGATGATTTATTTCATTAGCTCAGAGGAGCTATGATATTCTCTAAGTTTGATCTTTGATCAGGTTACCATCAAATTCTAGTGAAGAAAGAATACATTCCGAAGACTCCTTTGCGTACACATTATGGACACTACGAATTCACCGTAATGCTATTTGGACTTACTAACGCCATGTTGGATATGTGAGACCTAGAGGCCAATCTATGTTTATGTATCTGAATAATTATCAAGAATAAAAGGCCCTAAAGAATGTTTATACATCTCTTGTATCTAAACATAGCTTTAGTGTATAGATTTAGCGCTCTAGTAGCATAGATTAGAACTATGATATCTGATTATGAGACTGTTACATTTATAGAAGCTATGTCTAAAATATCCTTAGTCGAATGTGAGCCCTAGAGGCCAATTTATGTCTATGTATCTAAATGCTTATCAAGAATAAAATGCCCTAAAAAATGTTTATATACATCTCGTGTAGCTAAACATAGTTTTAGTCCATAGACTTAGCGCTCTAGTAGCATAGATTAGAATTACGATTATGAGACTATTACATTTGTAGAGGCTGTGTCTAAAATATCCTTAGTCGAATGTTATGATAATACGAACATCATAATATACTAAGGCTA